CGGTGTACTTGTGTGTTGCAGATGACTCTCTTATTCATGTTGTTTGTGCACAGGGCGTGCGTGCGGTGTACTTGTGTGTTGCAGATGAGCATTTGATCGGCATTTACAGATGATTATCGGCAATAATAGGCGAAATAAAGTAGAGAAACATTAAGAATTTGGTAGTAAATACATTTCGTGTTTATTTACCATTATTTTTTTTATTGAGACGTTCCAAGTGACTGTGGGAAATGTGCAGTTTGAGTAGCACAATTCCAAGTTTGGGTACAACAGTGACAGTGTACCAGGGGTAGAAATTAACTTTTGAACAAGGGACTCCCTGCCCTCAAACAGGGAGTCCGCGGCAAAATGAGGGAGTCCGCAGTCTCAAGTTCAAAATTATAGATATTAACAATAACGCATGTGCTTATTTTGAATGAAGATTCATGCGGTTGCACGTCTGCCAAATTTTCTTTGGACATTTGCTGAAAAAATAAGGTAATTCCGCGAAGCCGTGCTCTGGAAAGAACTAGTTAGTATAACAGAATTTCAGGGAGTCACACGGACTCAGGACTGCATGTGTCAAATCAGTAAGTCCGGCAGTAAATCCGGGAGTATTTGACTTCGGACTCCCGTTAATTTCGCACCCTGGCACCTGGTGTACCATGTAAACCCGCAACAGTCAAAAGTCCAAAGTTTGTGAAATCGTTCGCTTACGGGACCCTGGCTCTCACGACGCTACAACATTGCATCAATTCATGTATTGCAGTCAAAGTATTCTTAATCAATGCATGCCAGCATGGTGCTGGCATTCAAAGAATTTTTCATGAATTTACCTTTCATTTATTTAAAGGGTCGCATGGCCATTGGCATTGATACTGCTTGTACTACTATGTAGTATACGTGAAAAAGGGTGAAAATTAAAACGCCGAAGTGAATACAGACCAAACATTTGACAATGGCAGAACTTCCACCTACCAGGGATGTCAGTAAAGAGGCAAGTGTGGCTCCGTTTATTTGTTAAACGACAATAAATGCACAATTCTTGTTTCATGCCTGAATGCTGCCATTATTGCACGAGAAGCAAATTATATAAGGTCTTAATGATATGTTTGAACATTGCATAATTCTAATTATTGGCAATTTTGCATAGATCTGCTTATGTCTGACGTTACAGTTGTAGAATGTATTGTTTGGGGATGCATGTACTAGCAAAGTTGATGAGCACACATGCAATTAAGAAACTCAATCATACATGGATGTTTACATTTGTAATGTTTATGTGCAGGAGTTTTCCTTCAAGTTGATGAGAAAGTTCAAAGTGTTCGAGCCACAAAATAGCGGTCTTGACCAAAGACTAAAATGGCTTGCTGTATCCAATAAATATGGACTGACCTTTTTAGTATATGGCAAAGGTAGGCCCTAATGATGACTCTTTCTCAATATTTACACATTACATGAGCGTGTGCATATTTATCTAATATATGTAACTTAATAACCAGAAATCACAATGTTTACTTTGACAGCACAAGTATAAATATCATTGAAACTCATATTTGTTTTTTAGTTACTATATTTCAATAGTACTTCTAGTTTCTGCTGTAGGTTTGTGACTTATGTAATTAAATTTGTAAGCTGTAGTTTTTTTTTTTTTACCTCAGTTTCATTCATTTTCATCAGTGCCATCAACACTGATTGTCGCCACCGCGTTTATATAGACGTTCATCCTTGCAGGGTTTAAGGTTATGCAAACCAAGTTTCTGGACGAGAAAGATGTGGAAGCTGACAGGACACATGTCGAGCAGTTTCCTGCCATGGATGTTCAGCTTTCGTTTGTGCCAATGCATGTGGCGTTAAGTTCAGATGATCTAACCTTGTCCGTGTGCAGTGTTCGGAGTCAGCAGGTCTTTGCTGACTTGTACGACGTTAGGGCATTCTATAATAAGGTGGGTGAATATCGCCGCGTGAACGTATCTGCCGGGCTAATAAACCGTCTACCTTGCAAACGAATGTTATACTAGAATTGTACCTGTGGTAATGTTAAACGTTCTCATTGAGTGCTTTTACTTGCTCGACATTGGTTGGCTGTATTGCCTACTGGTTTTGTTATATTCAGGCATGAGAATTTTTTTGCGGATTCGCGGATTTCCGGGTTTTGGTTTTCATTATCCATGGTCATTCTTGAGATCAATGCAAAAAAAATAAAAAATTTGAAGGGGGTAGGGTGTACTTTTCATGCCAAAATGCACCCCGTTTTTAATTTAAACTTTATAAAAAGTCAGGAAAAGTACGTAAAATTTCACACAGAAGTAACGGAACTCCAGATAAATATCACGTTGTATCTATGTAATGTAAAGGGTTTTACCCTAATTCTCACGGTTACAGAAACTCGGTGACAATGATTCATAGAAAATGACAAGACTTTGAATTGTTAGTCATGAAATTGGTCTTTTACTAAGAACAGAATGGACTTACTATTTCCTCCAGGATGCATGGAATTGGCCTATCTGCACTTCCAAATTGCAAAAATTTCCTGGGGGCATGCCTCCAGACCCCCGTAGCAAGACAGTGTGCTATGCGCACCGTTATCGTGCCTTCGGCGCAAATTGAAATATTTCCTCCAAAAACCTCTCAACCTGTTTTCATGCCTGTAGATTCACTTATCGGTACAGGAAAGAAACAAAATGACAACTGGTTTATAAGCAGTCTCAACCAAATTACTAGGCTTACAAAACATATGAGTTCTGGAACTATAGAAATCTAAATGCTGTTCATCTAGAGGTAATTTTCTTTTGGTTTTTAGTGGAGTGTGCCGGTGACATATTTGCTAGATGCCATTGCCTGTTTTTTTTTAACAGGACAAGATGCCAACTCCATTCCAAACTGTGAGACTAAGCACCACAGAGGGCGCCACGCTACACAACCTTGCATGGCATCCCGAGAATGCTCTCTTGTTTGCCGCGTGCTTGTCTGACGGAACGGTCACTCTCTGTGAGGTGGGATCAGACGGACGATCCTATAACATGGTCGGAGGTTTGCCCTCGACAACAGGAGCAACTGCAAGTACGTTCCCATCATTCTGGTCAGTAGCAAGCATTGAAGTTGAGCGTGTATACGCCATCACCTACGTTAATGCATGCAAATGCGCGGTCTGCAGTCGTAAGATTAAACGAAACGTGTCGCTGATGTTCCACGTGATTGTACTGATGAGTCTACTGTGCGATATCATTGCAGTTTGTTGGAGTCCAAAAGGCAAGCAGCTAGTTGTGGGAAGCGCCAACGGAACGCTGACTCAATACAAGCTTACCTTGCAGGTTGCAAAGACTATCAATGTGCCACCTAGTGGTGGTCCAGCGCTAAAAGGTGCCTAAAACATGTAACGTAGCTATTTCAACCGAGCTTTGATGCGTAAAATACATGTTTTGTTTTTATTCCAAAGCGATTAGATTGCGCAATGTAATGAGTAGGTGTGTAGCGATTAACCGCGATTCAACTGTATCATGGTACATCTCGTTTGGTCCGGTTTTCGTGTTGTTGTTTTTTCTTTTCGGTTCTCGGTTCGATTCCGGGAAATAAATTCAACCCACTCTCAGTTAGGGGGGCGCACGCGGTGAGCAAACAGCTCAGTACTTACACCAAGCTCCGTTCCTCGCACTTTTCTCAACGTGTGCGGGGTGACAATGCGTGAGATTTTGGTCATTTGTGCTGCTGAGGAAAATATCCAATGTGTATACATGGGGTAGTCTTAGACTACTAGTCTAATAGTCTATTTTGGTGAGGAAGATCACTTTAATGAATAGTATTATGACTATTATCCTTGAACTGTATTACTTTATTGTTTTTTGGCCAATGAATAACACAATAAATGTATAATATTATGATAGGTATTATTATTGTTATTCAAAATGGAGCGGAAATTTCCCCATCTTCTCAGCATTTTTACTACTGAAAATAACCGAACCGAATGAACTGAACCGAAGAGCGAAAACCAAACCGAACCGAAACAAAATGTATCGTTACACCACTAGTAATAAGTGCTGTGAAACGAATTGGTTCCGTAAGGGTTTTTGCAGTAGGCATGCTATTAGTGCCCCCCAGACTTAATATCGATCAAGTTTCCTTTGATTTGCATTTGCAGTGCTCGACGTTCTGTGGGTGTCGTCGCACGTGTTTGCAGCCGTTTACGCTAGCGCCGATGACGAGCCGTCCCAGCAGCCTGTCCTTTACATCGTTACGTCGTCTGTGAGTCTTTAATTTAGGATTCAAACTATATTTTACATAGAAATATTTAAAATTGTTTAATTTTTTTTAACTAAATTTTTTGTCATTTAGTATACAAACGAAATTGATTTTAGCTGGGAGTATAGTTAAATTGAGTGCATATTCTGAGTGCATTGCGGAGAGTTGCAGTTTGACACGGTGTTAACGCCTAATACTCAATGTTGCGGAGTGTTAATGAAATGTGAATGACAATTAGTGAAGCTGATAGGAAGGTTGCTATCATTGAAATGTCTGTTGCCCTCGTCATGGATAGATAAAAATTTCCTATATAAACATCAAGATTTCATGAACTTTATGTGCTCCGTATTTTATACTGTCATACAATTCGAGTCAAAATAAAGACCCCATAAGCCGATGTACTCTGTTATGCATTGGGAGTTGTGAACATGTGCGGTTGTAATTTTTAAAATTTTTCCACGCGATACCTTTTTGAAGAAATCCGGGCAGGTGATGTACGTGAACTACGATGACGTGTGTTTCGGGAGCGGAGACACGAGGAAGCATATGTACTACATGTCCTACATTACACCCTGGTACGACACTAATAACAGATGCTGAGATGAGTTACAGACACATATATATTATTCATCTCTGTAACCGTAATGTAACATCAAAATAGAATCTGGTGTCATAGGTTTATTGCATTTATTTTTTATGACCCCACATTCTATTTTGATTGTAATGTTATGAATCCATCGGTGTCTGTGTGCTTTTCGCTCTCACACTCTATCTGTCGCCTTCTCTCTCTCTCTCTCTCTCTCTCTCTCTCTCTCTCTCTCTCTCTCTCTCTCTCTCTCTCTCTCTCT